GGCAGAGTTCAAAGGGAAGACAGTGGTGCTCACTGTGTGCCCCGCGCACCGTGCCTTCCCGAGTCCTGCACACAGGTTTATAAAGAGGACAACGCTCCAGGCACACCTGTAACTCTCCCAGCACGCAGGAGGCTGAGGCAGAGGATCAGGATCATCATGAATTCAAGTTCGAGACCAACCTGGGCTAGCTACGTAGTAAGACCCTGGGGCCGGGAAGATAGCTCAGTGACACAGTACAAGCCTGGTAAGTGTGAGCGCAAGGTCCTGAGTTCAATTCCTGGTGCCAAAAAAAAAAAAAACCAAACAAACAAACTCAAAAAACAAAACATAGTAGGACCCTGACTCAAAAAAAAAAAAAAAAAAAAAGTCCGGTAGCGAATAAAGTAGCTGGTATTATATTATTATTATTATTATTATTATTATTATTATTATTATTTTGTATTTACTACAGGGTCTATAGGATCTCACTATGTAGAAGGGTTTGTTTTTTTTTGGAGGCCTGGAAATGCCTTTAGGGCATTTCTGGTTTGCCCTGACTATCTGGGTTTGAACCACAGAAGCTTGAGCTTGAGGGCTTTGTTTTGGCAGGCACTTAAACAACTGAGCTACTGGGCAGGCCCCCGGTCTCACTATGTAGATCGGACTCACAGTAATCTGCTTGTTTTCAGCTTCCCAAGAGCTGAGATTACAGGTGTGCACCACCACGCCAAGTCTAAAAATAGCTGGTTTTTAAAAAGATGTCGATCCAGGGCCAGCAAGATAGCTCAGTGGACTAAGTGCCTGCTTAGGCAAGTTCAGGGACCGGGGTCCCACACACACATGGAAATTTGGAGCCAGGGCTTTGAGATTTCTAGAATCCGAGCAGGTAAGTCTAGCCTGAACCAAATTTGAGAAACTGCTGGAATAAAAAGTGAATTTAGGCTGGGGCTGGGGAGATGGCTCAGTGGAAAAAGCGCTTCCCTGGCAAGCGCGAGGGCCTGAGTTCAATCCCCGGTTCTGCCAAAAAAAAAAAGTGAATTTAGGGCTGGTGACATTGCTCAGTCATATAAGTGCCTGGGTGGCAAGGTCACTGAGACCCGGCGTGGTGGCGCACACCTATAATCCCAGTGCTGGGAGGCTGAAAACAGGAGGACCACTATGGGTCCAATCTGCATAGTGAGACCCTGTACCAAACACATAAATAAAAAATAAAAAGATGCCAATCCAGAAAGAGCCCAAGTTGCCACTTTCCATGGCCCTTCCTCACAGTGGGCTCTGCACATTGGCATCCCTTGGTCATTTAGCGCATCAGCGGGGCCCCGATGGCCATGATTGGGTGGATGAAACGGGCACAGCAGAGGGAGAGCTGGGGTGACATTCACCTTTTGAGTGCACTATGATTTCTTTCTCTCTCTCTCTCTCTCTCTCTCTCTCTCAGTACTAGGCAATGGACTTAGGACCTTGCCACCCAGGCACTTATATGACTGACCAATGTCACCAGCCCTAAATTCACTTTTTTTTTTTTTTTTTTTTTTGTGTGTGGAACAGTGGATTGAACTCAGGCCCTTGCGCTTGCCAGGGAAGCGCTTTTTCCACTGAGCCATCTCCCCAGCCCCAGCCTAAATTCACTTTTTATTCCAGCAGTTTCTCAAATTTGGTTCAGGCTAGGGGCCGGGGAGATGGCTCAGTGGAATAAGCGCTTCCCTAGCAAGCACAAGGCCCTGAGTTCAATCCACTGT